TGGGTGGTGCATGGTGAGGGCGGGCGGCCAAGGGGAGACACAGGACAGAATCATGCCTGAGTGGCTGGTTCTTTAGTGGCTGTTAGTACCAAGGATTGAATTCAGGACTTTGTGTTTACTAGGCAAGCAGTCTACCAACTTGAGCATGTACTTTCTCAGTGGCTAGTTTTCATTAAACTTAGGGTCACCTAAACTTTAGCTTTTTTTTCTTCTGGTATTATTTTGTTTGTTTTTTGGGTCCGGTCATGGGGCCTGAACTCTGGGCCTGGGCGCTGTCCCTCAGCTCTTCAGCTCAAGGCTAGCGCTCTACCACTTGAGCCACAGCGCCACTTCCGGCTTTTTTTCTTTTTGCTTATGTGGTGCTGAGGAATCAAACCCAGGGCCTCATGCATGCAAGGCAAGCACTCTACCACTGATCCACCTTCCCAGCCCTCTTTTGGTGCTCTTTTTTTTTTTTTTTTTGGGTCCAGTCATGGGGCCTGAACTCTGGGCCTGGGCGCTTTCCCTCAGCTCTTCAGCTCAAGGCTAGCGCTCTACCACTTGAGCCACAGTGCCACTTCCGGCTTTTTTCTTTTTACTTATGTGGTGCTGAGGAATCAAACCCAGGGCCTCTGTCATGCAAGGCATGTGCTCTACCACTGAGCCACCTTCCCACCTTCCCAGCCCCTCTTCTGGTACTCTTAAGACTATGTACTTAAAAAGATCAGCCCATGCCGGCAGAGCAGATCAAGTGATGACTTGTGCTTTCACCTGGGAAGATACATGTTAAGCATCAGGATGTCGTGGTGAGGAGTGTCAGGAGCTGATATCCATAAAGGCCAACTCTTGCTGCATGCACACAGCCCTCTGGAAATCCTGCCCGGCAAGCTGGAGGTCCTGAGTTCAAAATCCTAGTACCACTGAGGGTGTGGAGGACCTTCCTTTTCTCCTTCCTTCCTTCCTTCCTTCCTTCCTTCCTTCCTTCCTTCCTTCCTTCCTTCCTTCCTTCCTTCCTTCCTTCCTTCCTTCCTTCCTTCCTTCCTTCCTTCCTTCCTTCCTTCCTTCCTTCCTTCCTTCCTTCCTTCCTTCCTTCCTTCCTTCCTTCCTTCCTTCCTTCCTTCCTTCCTTCCTTCCTTCCTTCCTTCCTTCCTTCCTTCCTTCCTTCCTTCCTTCCTTCCTTCCTTCCTTCCTTCCTTCCTTCCTTCCTTCCTTCCTTCCTTCCTTCCTTCCTTCCTTCCTTCCTTCCTTCCTTCCTTCCTTCCTTCCTTCCTTCCTTCCTTCCTTCCTTCCTTCCTTCCTTCCTGCTAGTCCTGGGGCTTGGACCCGGCCTGGGCGCTGTCCCTGAGCTTCTTTTGCTCAAGGCTAGCACTCTACCACTTGAGCCACAGCGCCACTTCCAGCTTTTTCTGTTTATATGGTACTGAGGAATGGACCTCAGGGCTTCATGCATGCTAGGCAAGCACTCTACCACTAAGCCACATTCCCAGCACCTGAGGACCCTTTTTGTTGTTATTGTTCGTGGGGCTTGAACTCTGGGCCTGGGTGCTGTCTCTCAGCTCTTTAGCTCAAGGCATATGCTCTACCACTTGAGCCACAGAGTCACTTGTGGCTTTTTCTGTTTATGTGGTGCTGAGGAATCGAACCCAGAGTCTCATGGATGGGGGGCAAGTACTCTACCACTGAGCCACCTTCCTAGCTCCTGGAGGGCCTTTTAATAGAGACAATATAACAGAACAAAAAGGGCTATTTTGAGGGTGAAAAGGAAAAGGATGGAAAGGGCGGAAGGAGAAGAAAGAGGTGGAGGAGAGAAAGGAAGGAAGAAGGAAGGAGTATCTATAATTTTTCTTTTTTTTTTTTTTTGTCGGTCGTGGGGCTTGAACTCTGGGCCTGGGCGCTGTCCCTCAGCTCTTCAGCTCAAGGCGAGCGCTCTACCACTTGAGCTACAGCTCCACTTCCGGTTTTCTGGTGGTTTATTGGAGATAGGAGTCTCACGGTCTCTCCTGCCCGGGCTGGCTTTGAACCACGATCCTCAGATCTCAGCCTCCTGAGTAGCTAGGATTACAGGCATGAGCCACCAGCGCCCGGCCTATCTATAATTTTTCATAGCCTTCTTGTCATGCATTTGTAGTCACCAAGCATTTTGCTGTTTCAATTAGCATCATATCACAGAACTTTCATGGTAGTATCACAATCTACCATCATTAATATGTGTAATACATTTCTATGAGTGAATATTGGCCTTATCTTTAGTTGTTGGGCATTTAAAATTCTTTTTGCTTTTTGCTATTGTAGATATTACTGCAGCAGACATCTTACTGTGATCTTTTTCTTTTTTTGGGGGAGGGGGTCCAGTCATGGGGCCTGAACTCTGGGCCTGGGCGCTGTCCCTCAGCTCTTCAGCTCAAGGCTAGCGCTCTACCACTTGAGCCACAGTGCCACTTCCGGCTTTTTTCTTTTTGCTTATGTGGTGCTGAGGAATCGAACCCAGGGCCTTGAGCATGCAAGGCAAGCACTCTACTTTAGCCACAGTACCACTTCTGGCTTTTTGTGTGTATGTGGTACTGAGGAATCGGGGCTTCATATATGCTAGGCAAATACTCTAGTTACTTTCTTAAAAGGAATGTCTGAAGGGTAACAAGTCAGAATGTACACTATTGATCTATCATACTTATCTCTTGACTCCCAAATAGCACCTGGCACATAGTAAACTCAGTGAAGATCTATTGCATGACAGGATCTCCAGCATGCATGACCCACAGCTTCCACAGAGCCAGTCCTGTCTTTTTATCCAGGCTTCAGATGTTGAGCTGCTTATTCTTTTGTAGGAGGTTCTTATGTGCCCTTCCCTACAACCTTTGAGAGTATTCTTACATCACTAGAGAGTGGGTGGCGGTGTCAATCTTGTGCTTTCCAGAAAAACAACAATTCATTGTGCTATCTCCAGCAGTTATTTAGGAGCCTCCACACATACATACTCTAGTTGGCCCCTGGTCTTTTGGTAAATGGAGCCTCTGTTTCCATGACTTTCCACCTCTGATTGTGGGTAGTCTAGAAGGACCTTCTGAGAACAAGCACACTTCAAAGATAGGGTCCAGCCACCAGAAGAGTTAGGCCTAGGTTTGTTGAACAGTCGTTTATCAAGTTCTTATGCTGCAGACCATTTTAAGGATTCTATATAGTTAGACAAGTGCCTGACTCATGTCCCAGGAAGATATAGCCAAGGTCTTAGAGGTAAGTAAGACTCCATCCACTATGTTGGGGAACCATAAAGGCTTTTAAAATAGGTGATGTCTTAGGTCAAGTGTGGTGGCACACAGCTACAATCCTAGCTACTCAAGAGGCAGACATCACGAGGATCATAGTTCAAGACCCACCTGGGGAAAAAATGAACAAGTCTCCATCTCAACAAACAAGCCAGGCATGGTAGTACATAACTATAATCCCAGATACCCAGGAAATGTAGGTAAGAGGATCACAGTCTGAGGCCAATCTAGACAAAAGCACAAGATCCTATCTGAAAAACAGTTAAGGTAAAAAGGTCTGGGGAGGGGCTGGGAAGATAGCTCAGTGGTAGAGTGCTTGCCTTGCATGCATGAGGCCCTGGGTTCGATTCCTCAGCACCACATAAGCAAAAAGAAAAAAGCCAGAAGGGGTGCTGTGGCTCAAGTGGTAGAGCGCTAGCCTTGAGCTGAAGAGCTGAGAGACAGCGCCCAGGCCCAGAGTTCAGGCCCCACGACCGGACCCAAAAAAAAAAAAGGTCTGGAGAATAACTCAAGTGTAAAGAACATCTACCAGACAAGCATAAGGCTCTGAGTTTGAACCCCAGGACTCCCTCCCCCCCCCCCCCCCGCCCTCACCAAAAAAAAGGCGATAGGTAGTGTAGAGGACTTTGGGACTTCAGCACAGAAGAAACCTCATAGAATAAAAAGGACAGGAGGTATGAGCAGGGAGATGGAGAATGGAAGGGAAGGTGTGAGAGGAGTTACAGTTTGGAGGGCCTTGAATGACAGGGTGAGAAACCAAACATGGGTGCCTTAGTTGACAAACCGCATGTGCTGAAATACCGCACCCTGACTGGCTAATCAGGATTAATGGGCCCCTTCCTGTGCACACCTCCTGTGACTGTGTGTCATGTGTCACACTGCCCACATGTTGCCTTATTATGTCATCTTCATGGAGTAATTTTCTTTCAAATGTTTTCAGGTAAGTTATTTGGGCCACAAATGATACAGTATCTCCTTCCTGTTAGAAATCGGTTAGAACATAAAACCTGTTGGAATTTTTTTTTTCTGTCAGTCATGGGGCTTGAACTCCGGGCCTGAGCATTGTCCCTCAGCTCTTCAGCTCAAGGCAAGTACTCTATCACTTGAGCCACAGTGCCACTTCCTATTTTCTGGTAGTTAATTGGAGATAAGAGTCTCATGGACTTTCCTGCGGCTGGCTGTGAACCGTGATCCTCAGATCTCAGCCTCCTGAGTAACTAATGTGCGTGGCTCTGGGCTGGAATTGTTTTAGGAGGAGGGAGTTGGATGGAAGAGTCATAAAGGGGCTGCAGTGGATTTGGTGGATACATTGTATACTTGTGCAAAGCTTTTGCAATGAAATCCCCTTGTACAACTAATGTGTACTAGTTTCTAAAAAAGAAAAGAACTACTGTTGGTTTTGACTTTTTAAAAATCAGCATGCCACCTCCCAACTGTATGGGACAGGAGAGTCACATTCTCCAAAGAATGTCTTTATATTCTGCTCCCAAAAAACTGAAGGATATGGGGCTAATCACATCTGATGGGCCAAGGGCCGGGAGCAGCCTGCCTCATGCAGTGCTGTTAACTACAGCTGTCTGAGGTACAGCGGTGGCCTCTGGACCCTGCAGCTCAGATAACCTCACACAGTGCAGGCCTGAGAGGCTTTGTGGCATGCCAACCAAGTGCCTGATGTTACTGTTTGTTAGTGGGAGATATATTTGCCTGGGTTCAAGCTTGCCTGCCTGGCATCTCCTAATCTTGGTCTCTTTCTGACAGGCAGAGGTGGAAGAGACACTGAAGCGACTTCAGAGCCAGAAGGGAGTACAGGGCATCATCGTGGTGAATACAGAAGGTACAGCCTCCCTCCAGCCGTGACTCCCACCCAGGCAGGGCCCCATCGGTAGCCACACACTCACACACTGCTTAAACTTGTGCTTGGCCATCATGTGGTTAATATCAATTTAAATATCCTATCATCATCTTTTTAACATTCCCAATATTCTGACACTATAATTGCATGCTAGGCAAGCATTCTATCACTAAACCACCTTCCCAGCCTTTACAAAGCATTCTTTTTGTTTTGTTTTGTTTTGTTTTCTTGTTTTTTGTGGGTCATGGAGCTTGAACTCTGGGCCTGGGCGCTGTCCCTCAGCTCTTCAGCTCAAGGCTAGCGCTCTACCACTTGAGCCACAGCGCCACTTCCGGTTTTCTGGTGGTTAATTGGATATAAGAACCTCACTGACTTAACTGCCCCTGCTGGCTTTGGACTGTGATCCTCAGATCTCATCCTCCTGAGTAGCTGGGATTACAGGCCTGAGCCACCAGCGCCCAGCCCACAGTGGCATTTCATACAGATGAAACGAGTGAGTCTGGGAAGATTAACTCACTTGCCTAAGGCCTCACAGCACCGATGGGGCAGAGCTAAGGCGGGGCCATCAGATTCTGAATCCTACTCCCTCATCACTCCCATTATGGGCTGAGGACCGCAGGAGACACTGTTCCTACCACCTCCTTGGGAGGCCTCACAGGACTTTGGTGTGACTGTGGCCATGCAGGTCCCTGTAGCAGCTCAGCCGTCCTTTACAGATACCACTACAGCCTTTGCCAGTGACTGAGAAGAATCTCTCAGTTCTGCCTCTTTTACCACCATATCCTCTTCTGCACCTGCTTGTGTTTCTGGTGCCTAAGAAATCAAGTTGTTTCTTGCCACCTGTTGGTTGGACTGAGGATGACTGTCTGAATAATCTCTGGGCTGGTTACTTGAACCAAATTAGCAGGGTCCTACCCCAAAGTCAGGCCTCTTGTATGTGAGGAGTCATTCACACCACATACTTGAGAAGTGAGTGTCAGCTGGTGAGTTCTTCAGTCCTGTGGATGGAGCCTTCTGCTAAGTGACAACTAAATGCAGGCACCCAATAACCTCATTGTGACCTGAAGTGGCCACTTGATCATGGTTGAGCCACATTCTTCACCTCTTTGACACTAGGTGCCATCGAGTAAGTGGTTTGTTTATTATTTGTTAGCCTTTGTTTTTAATTAGTTTACATTAGATAGACAGAAAAGGATTTCATTGCTTCATTTCCACACATCTGAATGCTGTCCATTTAATTGTTTGATCCTCAAGGAAAAAAAAAGACTTAGTAGACAGTAAAAATAATTGCCCAAATTATACTCAGTCTAACTTATAAATTTCTGACTTTAAAGTGCTCCTAGCAATAGGAGAATGGATTGACCATTTTTTATTTTGTTTTATTTTGTTTTGGTGCTGGGAATTGAATGCAGGGACTTACACAAGGTAAGCACATTTTATCACTGAGCTGCAGCCCCAAGCCCATAATTAGCTCTTTGAAAGAGATGACAATGCTTCTACAAAGGGTGTGCACAGGTGTAGACTCATGCTGCGATTTGGGAGGCACCGTCATGTGCACAGGCATGTTTACAACTGGGCCCTAAGCTTACCTGGTAATAATACCTATGGGCTGGGGCTGGGAAGGTGGCTCAGTGGTAGAGTGCTTGCCTTGCATGCATGAGGCCATGGGTTTGATTCCTCAGCACCACATAAGCAAAAAAGACCAGAAGTGGTGCTGTGGCCCAAGTGGTAGAGTGCTCACCTTAAGCTGAAAAGCTGAGGGACAGTGCCCAGGCCGAGTTCAGGCCCCACGACCAACCAAAAAGAAAAAAAAAATAGCTATTAATTAAGCTGGTTCCTAGTGGCTCACACTTAAAATTCTAGCTACTCAGGAGGCTGAGATCTAAGGATCACTGTTCAAAGTCATCCCAGGCAGGAAAAAATTTGTGAGACTTTTATCTCTAATTAACCACCAGAAAACCAGAAGTGGCACTCTGGCTCAAAGTGGTAGAGTGGTAGTCTTGAGTGGTAGTCTTGAGTAGAAAAGCTTAGAGCTAGCACCCAGGCCCTGCATTCAAGCCCCACAACCAACCAAAAATAAAAAAGCCAGGCTGGGAAGGTGGCTCAGTGGTAGAATGCTTGCCTTGCATGCATGAGGCCCTGGGTTCAATTCCTCAATACCACATAAGCAGAAAAAGCTGGAAATGGTGCTGTGGCACAAGTGGTAGAGCGGTAGCCTTGAGCTAAAGAGCTGAAGGACAGTACCCAGGCCCAGAGTTCAGGCCCCACGATGGACAAAAAAAAAAGCCAACCGGTTACATTGTGGCACAAACTGATCATTTTTATTTCTTCTTTCTCCTTTGCAGACTGCACTTATTTAGTGCTGCCCTCCTATTCCAACCATTATGAAATAGCACCTCTCCTTTTCTTGCTGGAACCAGTCCGGCAGTGTGGCCCTGGGAAAGAGATTTGAGTGGGCCCGTGGGTCTGGCCTCAGTGCTCATCTGATGTGAGCATATAGGCAGGTCATCCTATCATTCGGGGCTCCTGTTGCTTCACTGATAACTGAAGATGGCTATACACCCTCAGAGGGTTCTGGGCCTGCCTGGCACTTACATTTTTAAGCATTGTGCCTGTTATAAATCAAGTCATTTGTGAGTAGTAGCATTAACTGCCAACTTGATATTCTAGAGTTAGGGCTGTGGGGTCAGGATCTTGACAGAAAGAGGCCCCCATGTCCTACTCAGTTTCTATCTGCTCTTCCCTCAGGCATTCCTATCAAGAGCACCATGGACAATCCCACCACTACACAGTACGCCAACCTCATGCATAACTTCATCTTGAAGGCTCGGAGCACTGTGCGTGAAATTGATCCCCAAAATGACCTGACCTTCCTTCGAATTCGTTCCAAGAAAAATGAAATTATGGTTGCACCAGGTACGATTTACTTCACCTCCCCACTTAGGAGCAGGCTCAGCAAATTCTGTGGCCCATCTGGAAGCCCTGGCAGAAAAGGCTTGAGGTGTGGAGGCAGTGTCTTTCTGCCTAGCCACCTTCAACTGGTGTCTCCCAACAGATCCTCTTAATGATTGTAGACCTCACTAAGGAATCATAGACTAATGGGGAAGAAAGACATGCAGCATAATGCAGATCAGCCATCTTCGTATGAGAGATTCCAAGCGCATTTGGAATACAGGGGGGGCACAATAAAGTCTGCCTGGAGCCATTGGCAAAGGCTTCCCAGATGTAGAAATGTTAGAGCTGAATCTTGAAAACCATCAAATAATGGATGTAGGGCTGGGAAGGTGGCTCAGTGGTAGAGCGCTTGCCTTGCATGCCTGAGGCCCTGAGTTCAATTCCTCAGCACCACATAAGCAAAAAGAAAAAAACCTGGAAGTGGCGCTGTGGCTCAAGTGGTAGAGCACTAGCCTTGAGCTGAAGAGCTGAGGGACAGTGCCCAGGCCCAGAGTTCAGGCCCCACAACCTGACCCAAAAACAAAAAAGAATGGATGTAGTGGATTTTGGGGAGGTGGGGGGTGGGGGGGCTGCAAAAGCTTTTTTTTTTTTTTTGGTCAGTTGTGGGGCCTGAACTCTGGGTCTTCTTCTGCCCAAGGCTAGTGTTCTACCACTAGAGCCACACTACCACTTTGAACTTTTTCTGCTTATGTGGTGCTGAGGAACAGAACTCAGGGCCTCATGCCTGCAAGGCAAACACTCTACCACCTTCCCAGCCCACAAAAGCTTTTGTTTTTTGTTTTTTGAACTCTGGGCCTGAGCACTGTCCCTCAGCTCTTCAGCTCAAGGCTAGTGCTCTATCACTTGAGCCACAGAACCACTTCCAGTTTTCTGGTGGTTTATTGGAGATAAGAGTCTCACAGAGCCGGGCGCTGGTGGCTCACGCCTGTAATCCTAGCTACTCAGGAGGCTGAGATCTGAGGATCGCGGTTCAAAGCCAGCCCGGGCAGGAGAGACCGTGAGACTCCTATCTCCAATAAACCACGAGAAAACCAGAAGTGGCGCTGTAGCTCAAGTGGTAGAGTGCTCGCCTTTAGCTGAAGAGCTGAGGGACAGCGCCCAGGCCCAGAGTTCAAGCCCCACGACTGACCAAAAAAAAAAAAAAAAAGAGTCTCACAGACTTTCCTGCCCAGGCTGGCTTTGAACTGCAATCTTCAGATCTCATCCTCCTAGGATAAGCTAGGATTACAGGTGTGAGTCACCGGCACCCGGCTCAAAATAGCTTTTATAAAACAAATAGCTGGGCTGGGAAGGTGGCTCAGTGGTAAAGTGCTTTCCTTGCATGCATGAGGCCTTGGGTTCGATTCCTCAGCACCACATAAGCAGAAAAGGCCAGAAGTGGTGCTATGGCTCAAGTGGTAGAGCACTAGCCTTGAGCTGAAGGACAGCGTCCAGGCCCACAGTTCAGGCCCCACGACCAACTCCCCTCCCCTCCCCCAAAAAATAGCTTTTGCCAGGCACCTGACTTACTTCTATTTTTAATAGTAATTTTTTATGTGTATAGGTTGCTTAGCCACAAAACTGCTAGTCACCTAACTTGTATTCTCAGTTGCAATAGAATATCATTATGGGAAGAACCAAGCTTTATACTTGAGTCTGAGAAGCCACAAAGCAGACAAGGCCAAGTCTGCCATTTCTCCTCTGCTCAACTGGTGCAGCTCCCCCCTACCACCTGCCCCAGCCCACTCGGTATAAGTACTTGCCTTAGCTCAGGCAAGGACTTGAGCTCTGGGCCTCAGTGTTCTCTTTAGTAAAATGGGAAAATGCTGTTATTGCCGCAGTGTGATTCTGGGACCACTGAGGTGCAGCATGGGAAGTGGTGGCCCAGGCGTGGCACATGGAGGCCTTGGTAAACGGCCACAGTGTGATTATTAAGTAGGCAGCGTTAGAACTCACCCTTCCTCCCCTCCTGTCTGTAAGCTGAAGAGTAGCCAGGCCTTCCTGTCTAGATGTCCAGGCAACTTTGTCCCTCTTTGACCTAGTGCCTTTTCTTGTCCAGACAGCCTGGAAAACCAATAGCTGAGCTGTGAAAGGAACTTACTTTACCCCAAGACCAGTGAATGTGAGGTTGGAATTCTGCCTTCCACACTAAGTGGCAGTCTTCCTAGAAGCTGCAGCATCAGCATCACTGGGAACCCGTTATAAATGGAAATTCTTGGGCTTCACCCAGACCCACACACAAACCAGTGGCTGTGGGTGGGCCAGTGGCCCTGTAGGTGACTGGAGGCCCTCCATTTCAAGGAGAAACCTCCTACACCTCAATGCCCCTATTAGGAAACAGGAGTGCCCAAGAAGGCTTTCTCAAACTATGCTTCAGAAGTAAAAGAGGAAGCTGGGTGCTGGTGGCTCACACCTGTAATTCTAGCTGAGATCTGAGGGTCTCGGTTCAAAGCCAGCCTAGGCAGGAAAGTCCAAAATACTCTTATCTCCAATAAACCACTCAGATAACTGGAAGTGGCACTGTGGCTTAAGTGGTAGAGCACTAGCCTTGAACTGAAAAGCTCAGGGACAGCACTCAGGCCCAGAGTTCAAACCCCATGACCGACCAAAAAAAAAAAGTAAAAGAGGAGCTGGGTACCCATGTCTCACACCTGTAATCCTACCTACTCAGGAGACTGAGCTCTAAGGATCATGGTTCAAAGGTAACTGGGACAGAGAAAAGTCCATGAGACTTTTGTCTTCAAATAATCACCAGAAAATCAAAGTGGCACTGTGGCTCTAAGTGGTAGAGCACTAGCCTTAAACAAGCTCCAGTACTGCACCCAGGCCTATGATCAAGCCTTACAACCAACAACACACACACAACCAACAACATACACACACACAAAGGAGCCAGGCCTATGATCAAGCCTCACAACCAACAACACACACACAACCAACAACACACACACACACAGGAGCCAGGCCTATGATCAAGCCTCACAACCAACAACGCACACACACAAAACCAACAACACACACACACATACACACAATACTCAGGAGGCTGAGATCTGAGGAGCGTGGTTCAAAGCCAGCCTGGGCAGGAAAGACCATGAGACTCCTATCTCCAATAAACCACTAGAAAAATAGCTCAAGTTAGAGCATTCACCTTGAGCTGAAGAGCTGAGGGACAGTGCCCAGGCCCAGAGTTCAAGCCTATGACCGACAAAAAAAAGGAAGGAGGAAGCTCATTCATGAAGTAGCTAAGCAGTATCACAGACAACCTAGGCAGAGTACAGCAGTGAGATTCAAATGTCTGAGGTGGCAAGAAAAGCTGGCAGCTTCTGTATGCCTGCAGAACCCAAATTGGCGTTCTCATTAGGATCAGAGGCATAGATGGTCTGAGACCAAACGCCCACAAATGCTGCAGCCTCATTGCCCTCACCAGATCTCTAGTGGCAGTTTTGTTTAGCTCAAGCATGCTTGCTTAACACAGCTAAGATGGAACTGTGTGTTGCTTAGGGCTACCCAAACCTGGTGCCAGTAAATGAACTTCACGCTGCAGATGGAGCCCAGTGATAGGGCTCTACCTCCAGCGGCAACATCAATCAGTCAACAAATAAACTAATCATAGCATGATTGCATGATTATGGCAAAGTCAGTAAGAAGTGCTTTGCTGGGCTGGGAGTGGTAGAGTGCTTGCCTAGCATGAATGAAGCTCGGAGTTAAATTCCTCAGTACCACATATACAAAAAAAGCCAGAAGTGGGCTGGGAAGGTGGCTCAGTGGTAGAGTGCTTGCCTTGCATGCCAGAGGCCCTGGGTTGGATTCCTCAGCACCATATAAGCAAAAAGAAAAAAGCCGGAAGTGGCGCTGTGGCTCAAGTGGTAGAGCGCTAGCCTTGAGCTGAAGAGCTGAGGGACAGCACCCAGGCCTAGAGTTCAGGCCCCATGACTGGACCCAAAAAAAAAAAAAAGAAAAAGCCAGAAGTGACATTGTGGCTCAAGTGGTAGAGCGCTAGTTTTGAGCAGAAGAAGCTCAGAGAGAGTGCCCCAGGCCCTGAGTTCAAGACCCAAGACTGGCAAAAAAAAAAAGAGTAAATTGCTTGGACAGACAGAAGATGACTGGTATCTTAGTAAATAAAGCTTCCTCTTCATGGAGGATCTGATTCCTGATATTTGCATCATTGGAAAAGAAGCAAATAACTTCCTGTTTTCCTTCAAATTGTCTCCATGGGGTGAAGTGAAGAAAAAAGCCACCCATTTTGTAAAAGGTGGAGACCAGATCAGCAGACTTATTATTAGTAGAATAAACTGTAATGCCTACCATGGTAGGTTTTGTTGTTGTTATTGTTTTTTGCCAGTTCTGGTGCTTGAACTCAGGGCCTGGGCACTGTCTCTGAGCTTCTTTTGCTCAAGACTAGGACTCTACCACTTGAGCCACAGCACCATTTTTGGCTATTTCAGTGTATGTGGTACTGAGGAATCTAACCCAGGGCTTGATGCATGTGAGGCAAGGACTCTACCACTAAGCCACATTCCCAGCCCCTAGCATTGATGTGGGTTTTTTTTTTTGTTTTTTTTTTTGTCAGTCGTGGGGCTTGAACTCTGGGCCTGGGCTCTGTCCCTCAGCTCTTCAGCTCAAGGCCAGTGCTCTATCACTTGAGCCACAGTGCCACTTGCGGTTTTCTGAGTGGTTTATTAGAGATGAGAGTTTCACGGAGTTTCCTGCCTGGCTTTGAGACGTGATCCTCAGAGTAGCTAGGCATGAGCCACTGGCACCCGGCAGCATTGATGATAAGGTTTTCCACTCTCTTCCCATTTTGTAGTTAGTGATTTAAGAAATTATTTGAGGGCTGGGAAGGTGGCTCAGTGGTAGAGCACTTGCCTTACATGCTCGAGCCCTGGGTTCGATTCCTCAGCACCACATAAGCAAAAAGAAAAAAAAAGCCGAAAGTGGTGCTGTGGCTCAAGTGGTAGAGCGCTAGCCTTGAGCTGAAGAGCTGAGGGACAGCGCCCAGGCCCAGAGTTGAGGCCCCACGACCGGACCAAAAAAAAAAAAGAAAGAAATTATTTGATTTCTAGTGTTGTATTTTTCTTGTTCTGTATTTAGTGATTTGTTTTTTCATTTTTCTCTTTTTCAGATAAGGACTATTTCCTGATTGTGATTCAGAATCCAACAGAATAGCCACTCTTGGCTCCCCATGTCATTCCTTAATTTAATGCCCTCCAAGAATTATAATGTCAATCATGTCATCTGACCAGCCCATAAAGATGACCATAGATCCCTCGTGAAACAATAGAGATCACTGTAGATTCTCATAAGCCAATTCAATGACCAAGGGTGGGTTGGCAGCTCCCCTCTACCTTCACCACGATGGAGGAATTCTTCTCCCCTTCCCCACTCCAGTGACCCCAGAGTTCCCAGGAGGCTCCTCCTTCCCTTCCTGGCTTTGGAGCCTCCCTTTAGGAGAAGCCCACACCCAGCTTCCTTCTGACCTTCAGTTCACTGTTGCTTTTGGAAAAGGTTGTTTTTCTTTAACTAAAAATAACCAAGCCACTTATTCTGCTGTTGTGTCTGTAAACACGGGGGTGGGAAGGCCTCTGTGTCACCATGAGATCTGAAAAGTAAACTCCCTCCTGCTCCTGGTGTTGTTGCTGGGCTGCCTGCCTACTGTCTTTGTGTTGTATCCTCAATGAAGCTTGCCCTAGTTCCCAGCCTTGTCCCACCCCTTTTATCACTTCCTACTTCCGCCTGCATTTTTCTTTTTTTTTTTTTTTTTGTCGGTCGTGGGTCTTGAACTCGGCTTGGACGCTGTTCTTGTGCTCTTCAGCTCTGCCACTTGAGCTACAGCGCCACTTCCGTTTTTTTGGGTGGTTTATTTGAGATAAGAGTCTCACGGACTTTTCTGCCGGCTGGCTTTGAACCATGATGCTCAGATCTCAGCCTCCTGAATAGCTAGGATTACAGGCGTGAGCCACCGGCGCCCAGCTTCGCCTGGATTTTTCTATTGCACTGCTTGGGGTAAGGAGATAGTGATCTCTATTGAGCCTCCAGAAAGTACTACCGTGCCTTAAGATGCAGGATTAGGAATATGCTGGGCAGAGTGGGGTGGGGTGAGGTGAGATTGGGAGAGTTCCTGAGGCCTCAGGAAGGAAAACAAGGCTGACTCAGTCCATCTTCCCCAGAACCCCTGGATGGTCCCCTTCACTTGAGGGGAGCTCCCTCCAAATGATCATCCACACTCTTGCATCCAGGTATCATTTTCTCTACTTAGAAACCACCATTTCGCCAGGCATTCATAGCTCATGCCAGTAGTCCTGGCTACTTGAGAGGCTGAGATCAGGAGGATTGTGGGTCAAGACCATGTGAGCCAAAAAAGCACACAAGAACCCCATCTCAACCAGTAAAAAGCTGGGCATGGTGGTTCATTTTGTACTATCCCAGTTAGGAGGGAAACATAAATAGGAGGATCTCAGGCCACAAAAGCAAAACCCTGTTCAAAAAATACCAGCGCAGAGGGCTAGAGATGTGGCTCAAGTGTGGAGCCCTTAGCAAGTGCAAGGCCCTCAGTTCAAACCTCAGTTCCACACACAAACACACATGCATATGCTGGGTCCCAGTCATTCAATGCCCAGAACCCTTGCTACTTGAGAGGGTGAGATCAGAGGATCAAAGTTCAACACCAGTCCAGGCAGAAACACCTACATTTTCTTCCCAAAAGTGGGCCTGGTGGCTGTGTGAGAGGGGAGGCTTAGATCAGGAGGATTGAGGTTCCTGGCCAGTCTAGGCAGAAAAGTCCGTAAGACTCCACTGCATAGAGAGAAGCTGGGCATGCTGACGTGCACCTGTGCCCAGCGGGTACCAGAAGTGTAATGGGCTTGCATTTCTGGCACACATCTGGATGGGAATAAGACCCTATCCTAAAAATATCAGGGGGTGTGGCTCCAGTGATCAGCGCCAGCCTTGCAGTAGGAGGCCCTAGGCTTAAACAGCAGAACCACAAAAACAAACTACAGGTATATTTGGTTTTGATTCAATTTTGCCTGTACTAGAGCCGAGTGGGGAGTGGCCTTGGCCTTGTTCACCCCACAAGGAGAGAGGAAAAAGGAAAGTTCACAGTTCCCACACAACTGAAATGACAGCTGGCTCAGCTTGGCACGTGCCAAAAGCAGAGCTTGGGCTTGGCCTTCGTTTCTCATGAATTTTCAAAGATGTGCCCCTCCCCACTTCCCACCTTTTTGGTTTCGGGGTCCCCTCTGCCTGCTCCTTTGTTGGTCCACCTCCCTCATAGTGGGGAGGCCCATCGTGGCCTCACCCCTCTGCCTTGCAGCTTCTGCACACGCCGTGGCCCCTGGCCGCAGTCCCGCCTTGTCCTGTGTCCTCTAGAGTCCCCGCTAGGACTAGGCTTTGGAGACGACAGGTGATGCCGAGCTCACATTGATCAACCTCCAAATGGGTAGTTCCTGGAGTTCTGCAAAAGCAAGGCGAAAGGAGGTTGCCAGCTTTGTCTTCCTTCTCTGGGGTTTGAATGCCTCTTCCATGCTAGGTAAAGGAACACGATGTTGATCCCAAGTCTTCTGTAGCATTGGTGGAACAGGACAACTCCATGTGGCTGTCCTTGAGCAGGTATAAGTGCCGGCCTCGACAGCAAGGACAGCATGACAAGCATCCTCATGAACATGACACAAACATCTGCTCAGGCCCGGCCTGGCCACTCAGTCATAGTTGCTGAGACTGAGGACTGCAGAGTTGCTTTTTTAAGGCTGTCATTGTTTTGCAACCCGCAGTGAGGGTGCAGAGCCATTGACGGGCGTCCCATAGGCCGTGATTGAGTTCAGACCTGGGAGAACACTTGAGCAATGACGAACATGAGGCCGTAGCACACACCTGTAATCTAGCAGCTCAGGAGGCTGAGATCTGAGGATCATGGTTCAAAGCCAGCCAAGGCAGAGAAGTCCATGACACTCATCTCCAATTAATGACCAGAAAATTGGAAATAGTGCTGTGGCTCAAAGTGGTAGAGCACCAGGCTTGAGCAAAAAGCTCAGGGACAGGGGCTGGGAAGGTGGCTCAGTGGTAGAGCGCTTGCCTTGCATGCATGAGGCCCTGGGTTCGATTCCTCAGCACCACAAAAGAAAAAAAAAAATGAGAAGTGGCACTGTGGCTCAAGAGCTGAATTGCTGAGGAACAGTGCCCAGGCCCGGAGTTCAGGCCCCACCACAGCACACACACACACACCCAGAGCTCAGGGACAGCTCTGAGTTCAAGCACCACAACCAACCAAAAAACAACAAAAAACCATGAAGGGAGGAGTTAGGCAAAGCTGTTTTACACTGCTTGCCTAGTATGTGTGAGGCCCTAGGTTTGTCCCTACCACCACAAAAATAGAATCAATTCAGCAGAAGTGTGACAATATAAGTTGAGGAAATCTCCCAGTTTAAATATGCCTATAATCCCAGCTACTCAGGAGTTGGTGATTGGGAGCATCACAATTCCAGACCGCATCAAACCAAGACAAAAAGTGTTCCCCTGCCCTCACGATCTCAACAAATAAGCCAGACATAGTGACTCACACGTGTAATCCCAGCTATATAGGAAGCATAGGAGGAAAAGCAGTCCATATAGGTCCTAGGCAGAGAAACACAAGACTTAATCTAAAGCAAAAAGAGCTGAAGATGGGGCTCAATGGATAGAAAACTTGCCTAGAAACTATGGCGTGTTGGGTTCAAATGCCAGCCAATAGACTTAGGAGAAAAATTGAGAGAGAAAAACAAAGTTAAGGATCAGTATAAAAATGTCACAATTAGGGCTGGGAATGTGGCTTAGTGGTAGAGTGCTTGCCTAGCATGCATGAAGCCCTGGGTCCAAATCCTTAGTACCACATAAACAGAAAAGGCTGGAAATGGTGCTGGGGCTCAAGTGATAAGAGCCTTGAGCAAAAGAAGCCCAGAGACAGTGCCCAGGCCCTGAGTTCAAGCCCCACAATGCACAAAAAAAGTAAATTAAACCCGTTATTCTGTATAATCTACACTAATAAAACATTTTAAATCGGCAGTACTTGGGATTGAACTCAGGGCCTTGAGCTTGGTAGGTAAGTGCTCTACCACTTAAGCCACGCCCTTAGTCCTAATAAAAGACATTTTAAAGAGTCTGGGATAGTCAACCTTTATCAAGAGTTCCAGGACTAGCCTGGCACCAGTGGCTCACGCCTGTAAATCCTAGCTGCTCAGGAGGATGAGATCTGAGGATCGAAGTTCAAAGCCAGCCCGGGCAGGAAAGTCCGTGAAACTCTTATCTCCAATAAACCACCAGAAGACCGGAAGTGGCGCTGTAGCTCAAGAGGTAGAGCACTAGCCTTGAGCTGACAGCGCCCAGGCCCAGAGTTCAAGCACCACGACCAAAAAAAAAAAAAGTTCCAGGACTAAAAATTAGGAGGAAAATTATAGACAAAAGACAAAGTCCCAGAACTAAGGACATGCATGTCCACAATAAAAGGCTTTTGAATCTCTAATTTTAAAAAGACTCAGGCCAAACCCCATCATTGTGAAATCTTAGAACACAGTGGACAAGTCAGACACAAGATTAGAAACTAGAACAGCACTGGACATCCCCAGAAGCACCAGAAACGAGAAGACTTTGTGCCTCAGAAGTCTGAGATTAAAGATTAAAGCCAGGATAGAGCTTGAGACCAGCCTGAGCTACATAGTGAGATTTTGTTTCAAAAAATAAAAAATAACAATACAAGCCACTCACCAACTAGAATTCTCTTTCCAATCATTCTGTTAGAAACGTGTAAACTATATATTTTTATTTCTAGACTTCACAAGGCTACATGTGTTCATGTACACCCATCTACCCTTTCACCAAGCACTACTGAAATAGGCCAGGAAACTAGCCCCAAGCATGATAGCACACACCTGTAGTCTTAGCTACACCAGAGGCTAAGATCTTGGAGGGTTGCAGTTTTAAGCCTGGGGAAAAAGTTCATGAGACCTCCATCTCAACCAAAAACCCTGCTTGGTGCCACATACTTGTCATCCCAGCTATGTGGGAAGTAGAAACAGGAGGACAGGCAGTTTTTTTTTTTTTTCTTTTTCTTTCTGTATTTCAAAAGATATTTCAGCCGGGCACCAGTGGCTCATACCTGTAATCCTAGCTACTCAGGAGGCTGAGATCTGAGGATCGTGGTTCAAAGCCAGCCAGGGCAGGAAAGTCCCTGAAACTCTTATCTCCAATAAACCACTTAGAAAACCAGAAGTGGCACAGTGGCTCAAGTGATAGGACGCTAGCCTTGAGCTGAAGAGCTGAGGGTCAGCGCCCAGGCCCAGAGTTCAAGCCCCACGAATGACCAAAAAAAAAAGTCTCATGGGGACTTTTCCGCCTGGGCTGGCTTCAAACTGCAATCCTCAGATCTCAGCCTCCGGAGTAGCTAGGATTGTAGGCTTGAGCCACCAGCGCCCAGCTTCCGCATTACTTTCTTAATCCTCTTCTGTCTTTCATCCTCCCTTTTGAGTGGTTTTTAGTGGGTTTTTGTCTTTATTGTTGTTTTTTTGCCA